CGGGGTCACAGACAGTCTGCTCAAATGAGTGTTTACATGAGTGCTATTTGCATGTCAGTTTAGAAATGAGACCGCACACAATAAAATTATTGTCACATCAAGGCATGGTGTACAAAACAATCATATATACTAAAACACAACATGCATTTTCCAGACTACTAAGTAGTCCCAAACCTTGATTACCTGGGGCCCCCAGAATAGAACTGAAGACTCCTGGTTTCCATTCTACTCCTAGACTGTATTTCGTCTATATAACACCCCTCTACATGGGTTATGATCCCACTGTGGCAGGGACTGCCTTCATGCTAAGATGCAAGTGTCTCCCAGGCCTTTGGCAATGTCAAACTAATTAATTTCTGTTTTACAAGGGGGCAGAGTAAATGAGCTAATTATAATGAGCCTTTTCCATCTCTAATTTCTGTGAACTCCTGATTTCGATCATATGAAATTTCCAGTCTGCAACATATTTACATTTGCCCGTAAGAGGGGGGACACACAAGTAAATTCTGCTGTTACACAAAGACAAACTGTTCACACCTTTAATTAAGCAAATGCTCCCTAGAAAAATTAACAAATTGCCTTGAAGAAAAGCACAAGAAGGCTGTTCTAGTCACTACATTCACCAGAAATGCCAAAATAAGAGCCCTCAACTCCTTGTCCCAGCATGCTAATTAGCAGTGAAACCAGTGCAAAATTATATAAATACCAGAATAACAACCATCTTCAGGCCTCAGTTGCATAAAACAAGCCATTGCCACCACTACCAAAGCAGGGGTAGGTAACCGCTGGCATGGGTGCCAGTGTGGCACACAGCGTTGAAGGCATTTTGCTTGGCATGAGTGCCTCAGGGTGGACGTGGGGAAGGAGAAGGGGCTGGGGCTGAGCTGCCATAACAAGGATCTGTCCCTGGCAACTCCCCTGGCATCTGCAACAATCTTACAAGTTAAAGTTGCAGGTGTTTTTGGCACTGCCCACAAATGTTGCTGACTCTTGCCCTAAAGAGAACCCTATTGTTTTCAGTGTGTGCCAGGAGTCTAGAACAATGGTTTTCAACCTTTTTTCATTTGCAGCCCCCTAAAAATTTTGACCGGAGGTGTGAACCCCTTTGAATGGTAAGTGTGGGTATTCACATACTTTTGACTTATCATAGTCATCTTTTGCGGACTCCTTAGACATAGTCTGTGGACCCCTTAGGGGTCCACTGACCATAGATTGAAAACCACTGGTCTAGAGCAATGTATCAGGCTGCAGGATCAAGCAGGCTGATTTTATCCAGACCCTGTCCTGTTTTCTACTCAACTGCTGCTGCCATTTCCTTCTTTAATGACCCCATATTTTCCCTGAGCCTTTTCCCCCTGCCTTTCATCCACACTGGTGAAGAGAAAAAAATAGAGCCCAGAAGAGGAAAACATAGGACTGTTTCAGTGGGAAAAAAAGAATACCATTACCCAAGCCAAAATGTGAGCGGAAACAGGGTTTTTCATGAACAAATGTACTGCGGTCCTTAATTTGGCATTCAGTGTCTAGCTTCAATAGTAATGAGCACATTAGAAATGCCTAAAGGCAGCTGCAACATTCAGTTAATAATTATACATTAAAAAAAGTCCTCCGTATTCTTACAGCTAAATAAGTTGTAAACACCTATTTCTATGTATTATCCTTATTCTTCTTGCACAGCACTTCATTATCTAAGGGCTCCCAATGCCTCACTACCCTGTGCACCACATGAAAACTTAGACCAAAGGTGTCTGGTGTCTTGAAAGCTGGAGTTGAAAGGGTATCTATCTCTTGCCAAATGTGGTTTTACAAGGGGACAGAGTCAAGAAGCTAAGTAATTATAAGGGTACTGTGCCAATCAGCTGTCAAGGACAGTCACCTTCCTGCTATAAATAGTGTTTGCTGAAGAGAACTAAGCCCCTTTTCAGTGACATTTTGGTTCTTTTCTTCATTCCATCCACAAGTTATCTGAGCTCCCACTATCACCACAGTCTACATCCAGGAGGCAAACACAGATAGCCCTTGAATAGACCACACCCCTGGAGGGGCAGTTACTTACAGATAAACTGGGGCTCCCATCAACTGCCACAAAAAATAACGGAATATCATAAAAAGGTCCACTTTTACACCTCTCACTTATGTTCTTAAAAGGTCAAGATGAAAAACGCATATAAAACAAAGAAATCCAAATAGAAACCAATCTAACAGGTTCACACTAGTGTGCATGTTGTCTACACCTTTTTACATTCTCTTCCTCTTTGTAGCTTGTCTACACTCTGCTGCTCAAGAATGAAAGATGAGATATTTCGGTTTTATTTGAATGCTCAGTTTGTTTTCCCATTTTATTCATAAATATTTCAACAAAGATGACTCATTTGCCATTGGGAAAAGTAACCATTATAAAGGGCGACTTGATTAAGGTCTGATCCTAACCTATTAGTGAACGTTTGATGCAACAGGCCTGAATTTCAGAATTGCATGTTGATCTTAACAGATGCTGCAGCTGCTCTGCATCTTTTAAAAGTCAAGCCTATTGGTATTTACAAACAAGGGTCCAGGCTTCTGGGGTCATTGGGAAATAAGCTTGTCCAGTTATTAATGCTTTTAAAAAATCACTGTACCACAAGTAAGAAAACAGAAAGGTTAGAAGAGAGCAATTCCCCTCTCTGATTCTGTCACATACCCTGTCCTAGTAAGAGCAAGCATCAAGAACAACTGAAACCTCTCATTGATCCCAAACTGCTTCTGAATTAATCTCCTAAAAAAGTGACTAGGACCAGTCTTTGGGAGAGGGTGGGGGAAAAAGGGGCTAGGAGGGAGAGATTTATTTAATTTACAAGACAATTGCATGTGGCAGTAAACAGCGCAAGTTCACAAACAGATTTGCTCTCAAGTGGAAAAGAAGTCGACTTATCCAGAAGTAAGAGCAATTGCAAGGGTTAAATAAACAAAAACAGTTAAGCTTGTTGGACATTCCCTAGTATAACAATCTCATTCTTAGTTACTTATAAAACTTTGTCAGACTTTAACTATCAAGGCTGAAATGTCCATGCAGCATGTCTGTCTCAGGCTAAGTGTTTATCCGAGACGAAGATTCTTGCTTAAAATAATTTGATCATTTCCCAAGAACAAGATTGGGAGAAAAGCTACTTGGAGGGGTTGTTTTTTTTCGATCAGATCAAAAAAAGTTCTTACAACTGTTACTAAAGCTTTTCAATGTACGTTCTGAAACTGATGTCACAGTAACCAACCATCTTATTTTATAACAATCTTGAAACCTTTGATTTGTTTGGTATTATACATCTGGCTACAATTGTACTGCAGAAAAGTACAATATTATGTGCTGTACATCAAGCACATTACTGGCTATCACCCACATACAGAGTGGCTGAGATGACCTGCCAGAAGCAAGAGTTGGGGGATGGACTGAACTCCCCCCCCATCCTACATACTTGCAAAGACTTACTAATGCTATTGAATAGTCCCCACCTCAGCAATTGGACACCAAATGCTAAACCAGTGTCTAGGAATATCTTACAACCTTACACCACTGTCCCAATGCAATTACCATGTGCAGCGTCCCGTCATTTTAACATTTCCTTAATGAAGCTTTTTCCATCTATTGCTCTTCACTTTGTGAGTGTTACAATTTAAAGTGGGCTTCACAATAAAACAAATTGGTTTCCTTCTTCCAAAATATTCAAGCAAGCCACAGAGAGGTGCCCACACTCTACACAAATGGCTTTGGACATTGTACTTTGCTGTCCTGTGCCAGCTTCTGTTGGACAGCACACTTCTGTCTCCCCTTGACTTTCTGGGATCAAGATATTAACCTGGTATGAAAGGAGGTATATCGATGATTTTAAGAAATGCTGGAAATGTATTTGATGGCTGACTTCCACTTTTTCACTGTTGTTGTGTAACGAAAAGAGCTGCTCTTTGTGACAAGCTGACCAACAAATGGCCATCCTTAGCTGATGCTAACCAGATATATATAGGTTTAACCCATGGGTTAAACAAGGAGAAACAAAACACAGAGCCCATCAGTAGAGCTCAAACAAGAAGGGCTGCATTCACGGGCAAGTGGTGAGCCTTGCTTTACAGCTCAGCAAAGCCCTACCAGGCAGGCAAACCAGTGAAATTTAAGACGCCCTGTTGAAGAGGCCTGCTTAGGCATGAAATCCAAAGATTGTACTGCACGCTGCTAGAAAAAGACACTTTGCTCCAGCCCCTTGCTGAGAGGGGATGACATTTACAGGACTCCTCAGGAGCATGGACATAGCCCCATTTTCCTCGGGGGGGGGGGGGCTGGTAAACTGAGGCCTGGTGGTGGGGGTTCACTGTTAATCCTCTGCCACTGGCCTGGCTACCTTTGGGTGCTGGGGATGTGAGGAGGGAAGGCAAATGGACTCCCCCAAGCTTTAGCTTACTGCAGCATCCTCCATCGCCCTTGTCATAAAATCATAGAAAATTTGGGTTGGAAGTTACCTCAAAATGCCATTTTGCCCAACCCCCTGCTCAAAGCAGGACCATCCCCAACTAGATCATCCCAGACAAGATTCTGTCTCCTCAGCTCATGAAAACCTCCAAGGATGGAGCTTGCACCACCTCTCTGGGTAAGACAGGTGACGCATAGGGGGACATGTGCCCCCCCCCACCCAAGACTGGCTGCCACAGAAGCAACTGCTTCTGTGGGTGGTTGCCCCTTGCTCCCTACCCCCTTGGTTGATGCAGCCACCGGTGTCTGCAGGCGGTTCCTGCTTGCCATCCCCACCGCTTGCTGTCAGCGCTGTCACCTACAAATGGTGCCCCCCCTCCAGTCTTGGGAGGCACCAGTCATTGATGCCAGGTAACCTGTTCCACTGCTTTACTACCCTGCTCCTGAGAGAGTTTTTTCCAAAATGCAACCTAAACTTCCCTCACCGCAACTTGAGACGGTTGCTGCTTCTTCTGCCAACCTGCCAGCACCAAGAACAGTCCAGCTCTCTCCTCTTTGCAGCCACCTGCTATGAAATCCCCCCTCTGCGTCCTCCTCTCCAGACTAAATAAGCCCAGCTCCCCTAGCAGTCACATGCCCTGACCCTCAAAAAAGGTTCTTTGGGTAAGCCCGATCCCTTGTATTACACCCCACTCAAATCTGACTGGGTCTAATAAAACGGTTTCTTTCATAGATACGTAGACGCTAGGGTCGGAAGGGACCTCAAAGGATCATTGAATCTGACCCTCTGCCAGTGGTGGAGATACCCAAAGGTACTGGATTGACCATGGGCGACTGGTGCTTCCTGAGTCTGGGGGGGCACCAGATTGCTGACCAGGGGTGGTGGGGGGTCCCCCCAGCAGCTGATCGCCAACCAGGCGGGGGGGGTTCCCCAGCAACTGATCACTGGCGGGGGGAGGGTCCCCCAGTGGTCGCTCACCAAGCCAGCGGCTGGTGCTTCCAGGGGGTGCACAGCCGATCTCAGGGGCATGCACCCCCTACGCCTCGCCACTGGGATTTACCCAAAGAGCCTTGTCTGCCCGTGTCCTTAGACCACCCCAGCCCTCAAACCATGTGCAATGCCCGCTGCCGGACTGGCTCCAACCTATCCACACCCCTTGTGTAGTTGGGGCGGGGGGGACGGCAAAGCTGGGCGTAGATGTGGCCTGGCTGGTGCCAAACGGGGGGAAGAATCACCTCCAGGCTCTGCGGGCAGCTTCTCCCGCGCACCCGGCAGTCCCGTCCGCTGGGAGT